TGTGGACTTAGGGTCCAAAAGACCATCCTTATTCTGGACCCTAAACCCTAAACCCTAAACCCTAAACTCTTGAGCTTTAAGGGGTCTAATTCCATGATTGTGTTTTTGGCTGGAGCCTCCGGGGTTTGCCTGATGTAGAGGCTCCGCAGGTGGCCCTGATGTGCATCGTTGGAGGAGGGTTTAGAGTTTAGGGTTATTTGTTATTTAGGGTTTACATAGGGCTTGGGTTTAGAGTTATTTGATATATAGAGTTTATCTAGGGCTTGGGTTTAGGGTTATTTGTTATGTAGGGTTTATATAGGGCTCAGGGTTTACACACCATAGAAATAGTAGTTCCTGGTCAGGTATTTTAAAGTCATGTTCACTACTTATGCCATGGACACGGAACAGCTACTGTTCCCGGCGATCTTTGTCGTGGAGGGCGTTTCGCTACTGTGTTTGATCCTGCGGTTGTCTCAAGGCCGGGTCCCTCTGTCCACGCCTCCAGACCCCATCCGCCCCGGAACCCTGAACCCTATCTTCCAACATTCTAACTTCAAGAATCCCAAATCCGAAGCCCAAGATCGTCAGATCAGATTGAAAAGCCAACACCAGTGGCGCACCTGCCAGCAACAACAATAGCCGGACCATCCAGCACGGTGAGTATCCGCCTCTTCCAAAGTACGGTCGAGTTGTTATCGTTCCAGAAACTACAATAAGAGCTATCGAGGCCCTAGGATGACGTTGGTTATCATGGCAGTCATGAGCGTCTGTGGTGGTCGAAGTACGAATGCGAAGTGCAATCTAGAGAGATCACTCATATTTCAGGGGTTTTGGGGTTCCAAGGAAGTTGCTACGTGAGACTTTTGGGGCTATGTGTGCATGCCAAAGCTCTGATATGACAAGTTCGTAACTTCAGGCTGGTGTTGGTTTAGGGTTTAGGTGGCCTAAATACGCCCAGAGCTCTGGCAACCCTGAATCCGAAACCCTAAGTCGAAAATTCTCAAACTTTACCCACAGGCTCCGTAGAGGTTTCGTTTTGTGGCTCATATTTGGGACCCTAGAAGGTAATCCCCAAAAGGAACTACTATGGAGCCTATGGGTAGGCTCTTAGCCCGAAGTTTCAAACCCGAAGCCCCTCAGCTTACAATCTTAAACTCTAGACTCTATAGACTCT